TCAGTTGTCAAGTACACGGTCCCTTGACACTAACTAATTTTTACAAAGAAAGACAATAAAATTATTAAAATATTATGCAAAAAAGCATGAAAAATAAAATGGGAACCAACCCAACATTCCCTTCTATATCGTAGACAGGACTCTTTGAAAAAAAAAAAAATTACTTATACCTTGAAATCATGTAATTTGAATAGAAGTTTTTAAATACACTTTGAATATTCATTTACGGGGGAACTGTCCATAGCAACCAGGCACTATAGTCAATGACAATTACCCATGGGAAGATGACTATTTGGGGAAATGTCTGTATCTCGAAAATACACTTCATTTCAAGATGTCACAGCAAATTTCAGCTTAATAGTAATAGTTCTCGATAGAAGTTTAAGATAGTATCATGTAAAATTACTGTACGTTTGAAAAAAATTTTATAGCCAGATTTTTTGAACTGCTGATTCTATCGTTTTTTCGAAATAATGTAGCAAATTTTAAATAATGATAACTCCCAATAGAGAATGGAAATAGTATTTAGTAACTTTGTGTAGGTTTTGTTTTTAATTTTTGGAGTCAAATTCTAATTTTGAACTGCTAATCTTGTTTTTTTGGAGACGTTTTTTGAGATAATATAGCGAATTTTAATTTAATGGCGATAATTCTTGATGTGGGTAAAAAATAGTATCATGTATCATCACTGTAAGTTTTCAAAAATTTTTGGCTTCAAGAAGTATTAAAAAATTCACAGTAATGATACTTCGTACTACCTTTCACCATCTATTAAGAATTATTACCATTTGTTTGAAATTGGCTATAATATGTCGAAAAACAACCTTATTTCTTCGAAGATATGAGATAATTACCAATTCAAAATCTGAATTCGGCTCCAAAAATTTTTATAAATTTGGTTATTTTACTTGATACTATCTTTAACCTACATCGAGAACTATTACCATTCAATTGACATTTACAGTGTTGTTTCGAAAAAAAATATCTTTTCTTCGAAATTCATATTTAACAGCTTACAACTTTTACTTGGCGCTAAAAAATATTTAAAAATTTACAATTATGATGTTTGTCATTATCTCCAATCTCCATTTAAAATGTTTAGTAACTTATAGAGTAAGTATTAAAGAATGTGATCCTACAAAAAAGTTGCATTACTATCGATCTGATCTTGCTAAAATTTAGTGTGGTTGTTGAAGACTATTAAAGCTACAATCCTGCTAAATTTCAGCTCTTAATGTTTATGCGAGAGAGTGAGAGAGAGAGTTATTAATTTTTGAGTAGTGGGTCAAAAAACGAGATTTTTTGCATTTTGCGAGGAAACCACTGGACCAATTGAGATGAATCGGAGCTTATTTTGTTCGTCTTTTCGCCACATTTATTTCTATATCTTTTTACTTTTATTTTAAGGCTTATTGTTCGTTTCCGACGCTAAAAACAGTGTTTTACCGTTTTTGCCATTTTTTTTAAGCCCAACGGAAAATATTTTTTGTTCGATTTTATTACAATCGATTGGCATTGTTTAACCCTTTGCAACATATTTTTTTCAAACTACTCTGAATTTCCATTGCCAAAAACTTTATTTGACCCCACTATAAGGGTTCTTGAATCCATAAGTCATGCTGATTTATGTAAAGTGAAATTACAATTTCGCATTCAAAACCATCAGCTTTCCAGGCAGAATCAAACCAGAATATTAATAGTCAAAAAATTGTAAATATTGACTTTTATATAGTAGTTAAACAAGCCATTGGCTTAATGTGTGAAAGCAATCACGCCATTTATAATTATCAGTTGTTTAAAGAATTACTTGTGTAAGAACGTTATAGTTAAATTTGTGAATTAAATTTATGTATAAATTGCTTAGAAAAAGGTTATAAAGTTAAAGACTGTCCAAGTCCTTGAAGGTATAGGTATTATGAGCAGAAGCACCATACTATGTTGCATAAAGATCATGGTAATTGAGTCATTCAAATAATCAGTATTCAGTGTCAAACGGTCAAAATGAGCCTAGTCCACCCAATTTACAGACTCATATTTTAATTCCTTAGTCCTAGGGTGCTTTTCAAGCTATGTTAGCAACTGTTATGGTATGGGTGTCTAACGGACATAATCATCGAATTTGGGTTTGTGCATTGCTTGATCAGGGTTCAACATGGTCCTTGTTTCGGAGGGGCTGGCTGAGTTTTTGGGAGGTCAAGCGATTGGCGTTGATGCTTGCATGAGTGGTATTGGGAGTGTGTCTACTGGGTTGGCGCGAAGTGCCATTAAGATTGTAGTTTCAACTAAGGAAAATCGGGTAGTAGGCCGAATACAAACTCTAGTTTTGCCGAGAATTACTTTATATGCACATACTCCTGGGCTAAATTGGAATCACTTTTCTCATCGTCTGAGTATTCTGAATTTATGCACAAATATGAATCGTTGAATCACATGACACCCATAAGTGCTTTGGACCAGGCATCCAGTCAAGTTGTATATTCACCGCATCACCCCATTATTAAAGATAATAGTAAAACAACAAAACTCAGAGTTGTTTTGAATGCATGGTCTAAAACAAAATCTGGATGTACGTTAAATGATTGCATGTTGACGGATCTCAAACTTCAGTCTGTACTATTTTTGGTACTTTTGTAGTGGAGAACTTACCCGTTGATTTTAGTTGCTGACATCAGGAAGATGTGTAGACAAATATTGGTTCATGTCAAGATAGAAATTTCCAACGTATATTATGGCATCATGATACTAATAGTTCTGTCATTGATTACCGGTTAAATACTATAACTTTTGGTACTAGGTCTGCTCCGTCTCTGGCATTAAGGGTGATCAAGCAGCTTATAGCTGATAAAGGAGATAGGTTTCTTTAAGCTGTTCCAGTTTTGTGTTATGACACATTTGTCAATGATTTTTTGTTTGGAGCTCATAGCCATGCGGAAGCTTTAAAATTGCGGGATCAGGTTACACAGCTTTTGAGCCAGGCAGGATTGGAATTACATAAGTAAGTTAGTAATGATCTAAGTCTTTCATTGAAAGCCAGTTTTAACGGGTATGAGTTGGATTGGAGTTCTGGAACATAGACTAATAGAGGAGTCAGTGTGTTGGGGGTTCGATGGAGCCCGGTGTCTGAT